ACTATATAATTTATTTTTAATTTATGCAATTTATTATTTTCTTTAAATTTTGCTTTACTAAAATATATGTATTTTCTGTAACAGACTTGAATAAACAATGTCAGAAGTTGAAGAAGCAGCACCAGAAACAGCAGAAAAACCTCCAGAACAAGATGTTGTATCTGAAGAGGATAAACAATATTTGATGGATTATATAAAAGAAACAGAACAGCGGCTCAATACAAAAGAAGAAATTCGAGCAGCTAACTTAAATCCTAATAGACCACCAGAAACATATTTTAGCAAGCTAGATTCAACTCTGAAAAGAAATACCACATTTGTTAAAAAATTAAAAAATTTTAGTAGTATACAATTAGATACAGTTCTAAAAGACATGACACATTTAAATTTGACAAAATATGTAAGTGAAGTTGCTACTGCTTTAGTGGATACTAAACTAAAAATGACAGATGTTGCACCTGCTATTAAAGTATGCAGCTTTTTGCATCAAACTTATGCAGAATTTTCAACCCATTTTTTTGAAAATTGGCAGAGAATTTTATCTTTGAAGGTTGTAGATAAGATTGCAAATCCAAGCAAACTTAGAGTAGATCTTCGATTTTATGCCGAACTAGTTAATGCAGGAATTTTTACTCATAAGCAAGGATTACCTTTACTTGGTTCTGCATTAACAGTTCTAATTAATATGGATAAAGAAGAGCACAACAATGCAAGCATCATATTAAGTTTTTGTAAACATTGTGGTGAAGATTATGCAGGCCTTATACCTAAAAAAGTGAGAGAAATATCAGAAAAATTAAATACATCAATACCTAAAAGCAAATTACTTTCTCCTGATAAACAACAAAATGTTAGATTATTGCTACGAGATTATTATAATTCATTATGCAAGCATTTATTAAAAGAACATAAAGATCTTCAAGCTTTTGAGAAACAAAATCGAAAGATCTTACAAACCAGAGGTGAACTAAGTTCTGAAAGAAAAGAAAAGTTGGAAAGTCTGCAAGTATCTTATGATCGTTTACTTAATAATGTACAAAGCTTCTCTGATACTTTAGATGAACCTATGCCAGAGCTCCCTGTAGATAGTGAAATGAAAGCAGAAGCAGAAGAATCATTAAAAATGATCAGTGAAGGAGAAGAAAATAGTATTCTTGAAGATATGTGGGGAGATGAAGAAACCAGACGATTTTATGAGGTTCTACCAGATTTAACTGTATTTCTTCCAGGATCATATTTGAAAGAAGTACCTAAACAAGATGCTCCAATAAGTGAAGAAGCTTTAGACGAAGAAATAACATTTGACGAATTAGAAGAAACTGAAAAAGTAGATGAACCTGAAGCAGAAGTAGAAGAGCCACAGGTTTCAAATATAAGTAATAAAATACTTTTAGATGCATTCTTAACTCATTTGCCAAATTGTGTAAATCGTGAAATGATTGATAATGCAGCAGTCCACTTCTTAATGAATCTGAACACAAAACACAATAAGAAAAAGCTAGTGAAAGCATTGTTTGGTGTGTCCAGAATTCGTTTAGATCTGTTGCCATTTTATTCACGTTTGGCTGCTATTCTTTATCCTGTTATGTCTGATGTAGGAAATGATCTGTGCTTAATGTTAAAGCATGATTTTAAGTATCATGTACGTAAAAAGGATCAAATTAACATTGAATCAAAAGTAAAGGTTGTTAGATACATTGGTGAACTTGTTAAATTTAAACTTTATTCAAAGATAGAAGCATTATATTGTTTGAAAGTTTTGTTACATGACTTTACACATCATCACATTGAAATGGCTTGTAACTTACTAGAAACATGTGGCAGATACTTATTTTGTTCACCAGACTCACACCAAAGAACAAAAGTATATTTGGAACAAATGATGCGTAAAAAAGCAGTCACTGCATTAGATTCACGTTATGTAACAATAATCGAGAATGCATATTATTATGTAAACCCACCAGAATCTGCAGGTGGTGTGTCTAGGAAAGACAGACCTCCAATTCATGAATTCATAAGAAAATTATTATATCAGGACCTTTCAAAAACAAATACTGACAAAGTTCTTAAATGGATGCGTAAATTAGACTGGGAAGATGAAAGTGTGTCGTCCTATGCTATTAAATGCCTTACTGCTGCATATAATGTTAAATATTTAAATATTCGATGTGTAGGAAGTTTATTAGCAGGGCTTGTTGCACATTATGAAACTATAGGTCCTCAGGTGGTAGATGGTGTACTAGAAGATATAAGATTATGCATGGAAATTAATTTACCAAAATTCAATCAACGACGTATTGCGATGGTTAAATATCTCGGAGAATTGTATAACTATCGCATGGTGGAAAGTGGAGATATTTTCCGAACATTGTATCTTCTGATTACATTTGGAGTCAGTATGGATCATTCCATACCAAGTGTTTTAGATCCACCAGAACATCTCTTTAGAATTCGATTAGTCTGCACATTATTGGAAACTTGTGGACAGTATTTCAGTGGCGGTTCTAGCAAGAAAAAACTTGATTATTTTCTAATATTCTTTCAAAATTATTATTGGTTTAAATACACAGATTCTATTTGGACTCCTGAAAATCTTTTTCCAGTGGGTATAGATTATATGTATCGTGACACATTAACAATGCTAAGGCCGAAAATGCAATTATTTCAAAGTTACAAGGAAGCACAATGTGCTGTAGAAGAATTAAGAAATACATTATATCCCACTCTTGGTAATCCTGTTGCAGAGGATGGTATTGATCGCACTGAAGGAGAATCTGATATGGGTGTAATTGCTGAAGGGGATGAAGATGTAAGTGTAACACCTGGAAATGGTAGTGGAGATGCGAAAGGTGTAGCTGATTTACATTTTGAAGAATCTGAAGATTGTTCTGAAGCGCAATCAGAAGAAGATTGGACTGCTGATGCAGAAAGAGATGACACTATGGGTACTCAAGAAAATACTCAAGGAGATCAAAGTCTTTCAGAAGGTGGTGCGGACGGTGTTATTATGGACGTTACAGAATTGAATGCAGCGTTACCAGCTGGTCCTAGAAGAGTTAGTTGTCCTGAAGATGATGACTTTTTATCTGCTCTAGATAAAATGGTTTCGGATAATATACAAGATAGAATGCGAGATTCAGTAAAGCCGCAACAAGTCGATATTTCAGTACCTTTACATGTAAAAAGTACTAAAAAGACATATGAACAATTGCAAGAAAGACCTACTGATAATAGCACAGTTGATTTTGTGCTTATGTTAAGAAAAGGTAACAAGCAACAATACAAAAATTTGGCAGTTCCTGTATCATCAGAATTAGCAATGAATCTTCGCAATCGAGAACAAGAACAGAGAGAAGAAAAAGAACGAGTTAAAAGATTGACATTGAATATTACGGAAAGACAAGAAGAAGAAGATTATCAAGAAACAATTAATCAGAGTACAAGGCCAGTAACAGTAAATTTAAATAGAGAACGACGACAAAAATATAATCACCCCAAAGGTGCACCGGATGCCGATCTTATTTTTGGCCCCAAAAAGATTCGGTAGATATATTTTAATATTTTCGAGAAATATTTGTCATATTGTCAAATCATACTTATAGTGATTTAAAGTATGGACTATACGAATATTCGTGTTTTTTTTTTATGGGAGGTACGACAGATTAGTGTTTCTTTATTTTTCATTTGAAATACATAGTTGTATGTTGTTTATACGAATTTTCAGTCATGTATGATTTTTAACGTAAAAATATTTTTTTGTAACTACATTAAAAATGCACAAATGTGTCAATGTGTATTTCAGTATAGATAAATGAAAAAGTTATAAAGTACCAATGTTATTACCTTTTGATACAATTGATATGTTTAAATGAAATAACTATGCTTTACATGTTATATATGTAATAAATTACGTAGTTTTTATGTACAAATAAAAGTAATCATCATAGTTGAATATTAAAAAAATCTATTTGGCCAAACTGCCACATTAACTACTTTAATATAGAAGTGTAAATTTTGTAATCAAAATTTACGTATTGACGTATTAGGAGTTGTACTGATAAATGATACTTCAAAATGTTTTTTTTAATAATTTAATTAAACATTTATTAACAATAAAAAAGATACAATATATTTAAATATAATCATGAAATTGTTATATCGAAACAAATAAGTTTGTATAAATATCAGTAGGTGTCTCCAATATTTTAAAAAGATTTTATTATGTTAAGTTTCATTTTTATTCAAATAAATGTAAAAAATTGATAATTTTTTGAAGAACAAATACAAATATGCATACAAATAAGGAGTTGAATTTGATATACAATTATTTATTTTTATCTAAGAAATTATTACCGTGTACAAAATGAATATAAATAAATGTTAGGTGTTTTTATGTTCGATACAGCTCTGTTATACAGTCAGCCATAATATCACATATCTACCATAATGTATGATAATAGTAATTATAAATTAATACTAAATGCATATCTGCATTGTATCATCCCCATGTTTTATAGATGTTGTTCTGCATCTTCAAATTGTCCCTCTTCTATATCCATACCATCATCTGCTTCTGTACCATTGTGATTGCTCCCTACTTGTTCTATAGATACAAATTGCAACAAATAAAAAATTTTAATCTTTCAACATTTTCTTTTTTTTTTACATAAAAG